ACGCACGCACGCACACACACACGCACGCACGCACACGCACACACACATGTATTAAGGAACTTGCAAAATAAATTTTTCTGTATTATATTCATTATGCAGCAATGGTAATACAACGTATTTGTTTTCATACGTCAATATAAACATTTTATTTCTAATTTTATCCAATGACCACATTTTTTCTTGCGAAAACTGAGAAACGACATAAATTTGAAATAAAGAAGATTCACATGGAATTGTAAATAAATTTTCTTTTCGCTTGTTTCTTTTCCCACAAATGATTGATTCTTCCTTCTCAAAGTCGTAAAAAAATTTTGTTATTTTTACAATTTCTCCATTTGTCAATAAACAGCAATTATCATTGATAGTATGCACTCGAAAACGATAATTATTTGAAATAGCTTCTGTATACGAAGGTCCTCTTTTTCCATTGGGCAAAATACAATAACCAGTTTGCGAGTCGCTAACGATTACAAGTTCAGTTGTACGAAAATCAGTCCTTATTATATCAGATTTCATTTCATGATACCAATTATACAATTGTTGTAAAGGTTGCGTATACTTTTTGACTATTCGTTTTAGATGCTGTAAAAAATTTTCATATTTAAAGGCACTGTAATTGTCTAATGGTCCAAATGTTTTAACATCTTGTATAACATGTATCAATCCATGCATATTATGCGATACAAAACATTCATGATACAAATGTGGCATTGCATCAACAAATTTTTCTAAGAGTTGACCTGCATATTCGATGTACTGATTACAATCATTACTACATAGAATTCGTATAGATACGTGTAAAGTCAAGAAATGGTTAAATATATTTTTATCTAAATTTTTTTTTAAAACAACAGGACCGGTATATAAAAGCAATAATCTATATTCGGTTGCTTTGAAATATTTAACTAATTGTAACGATCGAGTTTTGCGTGAAAATTCATTAGGGACAAACGCTGCAATGTTTTCTAACAAAACGGATAAACGTTGTATACTTTGCGCATTTAAAGAATACGGTTGTTTTGATTTACTTAATCATAAATATAAAAGTTTACGCATAACACCGAGGCATATTAAGTGCATGTATTCTAAAGGAATTTGATTAACAATATCAAAATTCGGAATGTCTGTTAAAATACTATGTCCTAAATGATAATTAAGATCAGTTTTATTTTTAAATTCAACATCATTTCGTAATTGTTCATGACTATTTAACATATAAACGCGCCTATGAGTATATTCGCCTTTTATATGGCATTTAGTACAACTATAATATGCGCAGTGACCTTTGACATTTAAAATATATGACTTTGCTGGTGCATCAGCTATAACAGAATCAATTCGACAGTTATAATATAATCCTTCAATTATTATACCATTTTGACATACATCTTTAATATCATTTACAGTAGCACTTAGATAAAGGTTACTATCATACGGCTTTTCAGGATCGTAATAAGCTCCAATAAGAAAAATATGGCGGGTATTTTTTACAGAACCTACAATAGGCCACAATGATACACCTGATTTGAAAAGTGGAATACCATCTATAAAAATTGATATATCGATCCCATTAAGAAATAATTCTTTGTTTTGATTTAAAATTGTTTCTGTTATGCCTTTGTGCAAACCTATGTGCATGTATCCACCTGGTGTCATGGGTATAACATTTACTTTGTTGCGAGGAGTATTCATTAATGTTTTTGATCGTGTTGGTAAAGTTTGAAAACAAGAATGCAATTTTAAATGACATAACAACTCAGTCACAGCTGTATGAGAAATATTATTTCTCAATTTCCAATTTCTTAAAAATTCTTTAGTATTATCAATCTCTTCATTTTCATTTTCTTCTATGGAACACTCCGTATTTATCACATCTTCATATTCAGGAAGATATGATGTCACTACTGTTGTATCATCTGTATTGTCAAACCATTCAATATCTGAATCAATTGGATCACTATCCGAATCCAGACAATTTATATCAATATGACAGTTTTCTTCATCAAATTTATCCAGCACCTCTTCAAATTCATTATCACATTGATTCTGATGCTGTAAAGGTCTATCAAGTGGATTCTCTCTAGAGGAAGAGCATGGTCTATGTAATGATTCAGTCGTAACAATATATTGTTCTTCGTACGAGGCAAAACCGAGCAATTCTAAAAATATATAATAATGGATTACAATTAATGAATTCCTTAGCATCCATAATAGCGCATAATGTAGTACAAATTACAATATTTAAAAAATATTACATAAAAATTATACATGATATTGTGGGAATATTTCTAAACATTATATCCCAGCAAACACAGAACATTGCAGCAACATTGTGGCAATGTTGCAATATTGCTGTAATGTTGCTACAATGTTGCAACATTGCCATAATGTTGCTGCAATGTTCTGTTTTTGCTGGGATATATTTATATATTATATATCATAGGAATATTTTTTTATAAGTATTTTAAAATTAAACACTTAAATTAATATTGCTTCTCTACATTATATTTCTTGTATGAAAATATTGTGCTAAAATGATACATATATTATATGATATTTAAAATATTTTGACAACAATATTTTTAATATTGAAAACATATGAACTTCCCGGAATATTTAAGATACCTATAATACTTATGTAATAAAACATTAAAATGTTTTATATATTGTCTGCCTATTTATAACATTTAGAATTAATATTTTCTGCTACAATAATTATGAATGCATAAAATAATATTTATTTGAATAAATTTTTATTCTGTTTTAAATAATTGAAGAAAAACATTAATAATCGTGTTACTCTTTTATTGAAAAATGAAAATGTATTAATTGTTTATTTTAAATCAAATTTTACATTAATTCATATGACTTAAATATCTAATAATCTGTGCTTCTTATTATTTGCTTATTATATGCTTCTTATGTTTGTTCATTTTCGTTGGGAATGTTATAGAGATGAAATTATATGTATGCCATGATAATATAATATTCAATTAATCTGGATTTTACAATTAATTTAAATTTATTTATTCAACAATCAATTTTTTTTAAATGTTAAATTTAGCGATTATAAAATAATTAATACATTTATTTCTATTAAAAGATTATAAAACATTTGTACTTAGTAACAAAAATGATAATTACAGATTCTTAGTTAATAATACAAATAATTTTAATATAATTTTCTTTTTAAAACAACACGTCTTCTGTAGAATGAAATAAATTGTTTCATAATACATATAATTTTTCAATATAATAATATTGCAAAAATGATACCTTTTCTTGTTTCTTCATCCGTATCATCATCATCATTTTTTATATTTTCGAAAACATATCTCAGCACATTTTCCGTTTCATTTTTTATACGACGGCGGAACTGACGATCACCCAAATCCGAGACATGTTTTTTAAAATGTTTTGACATCATACAAGTTATCCTGCAATGTATATTCAATTAACAAGACGTTATCCTGTTATATGTTTATCCAATATTAAATTAAAATAAATAATTAAGAGAGTGAGATTTTATTTCAGAAAAAAATCCTAACATAATCTCAAAAATGTAAGTTTTAGTTATATATATAAAATAAATAAAAAGGTAAATTTTTAATATTAAAATAATGAAAACTTTGTGGTTGCAAATTTAAATATATATAATCAGATAAAAGATTTACCTGTATATTTTTTAAAAAATAATGTGATAAACAAAATAACTACATATTTTGTTTAATTATTAGAAAAAAAATATATTTTTAAAGAGAGTGAAAGAGGGGGGGGGGGAATTATTGCTTGGCATTTATTATAGGTAATTATTTAAATTTGCAACTACGGAGTCCTCATTATTTTAATATAATATATACTATTTTATTTATTTCAATTAAAATCAACATTTTTGAGATTATGTTGTGAACTCAACATTTTTGAGATTATGTTGTGATCTTGTTTCTAAAACGAGATCACCATCCCCTTAATGTTAAAGTAATGATAAATATATATCATATTTATTATGAATATTTTCATACAAATTTTTATTGAACTATTCCACTAAACAGTATTCCATTAAAGTAATCATATATCATATAATAAAAATATATTTCTTACCAATAATTGTCCAAGAATTCTTCAAAACATTGGTTTTTGTTAGATTAGGTTAGTATGAGGTTGGTGTGATATTTATTTTGTCTTTATTATGTTTTCCTTATATAACAATATTGTCATATAACCAATAAAAGGCAGATTCAAGGCATTTTAAGACCTTTTCGCCCGAAAAGACACAAAAAAAAACAATCTAGAACCAGTTTAATAGTTTCCGCTAATGCAATTATCCATTTTATGGCATAAATAATTATATTATAATTATACGTAACACTAATAGTTGCAGTACCCAGACTTATCAAATCGGTTTTACGCTGATCATGAAAATGCAGATTACGAGTGTTTTCAACTAGATATTGCCGTGTAAACGTAAATCAGTGTCGAACGGAATCTCGATCTCACTACCACAAATGTAACGCTCACTCTATCACAATGTAAATATACCTAAGTAGCACGTCTTAATGATGTTTCTAAAATCATTATGACATTATTAATACGTCATTTGACGTCACCGTGCTGTCTGGGTACGTGAGCCGAAGTTCCGTCTTATATCATTTAAAACAAACAGATATATCGCCTTTCTTCTACATCTACACAATATATTGCACAATCTTTATTACGCAATCCATAACAATTTTTAATAATTATTTTATGCAATATACTATCTTATTTTATTTAGAGTACTTATTAAACCGAGAAGCGTAGATGTGTTGCGCAAAGCCAGTAAAAGTAAAGCGTTTTTTACGCAGTACATGTATGTACCCATGTACGTGCGTGTTCTCGGTTAGTACGTGCCCCCTCCACCACGGCACCACGGTGCTCTTGCTCTTGGTGCTGGCCGGCTCGAGTTTGTTGCATCACTGTTGTGTAGTGAAATTCCGTTCGACTATGGCAAAATCTATAAATATGGTGCCACGTATTTATAATATTTAATGGCACATAGTCACACGTAGTTTAGCATGGGCTAGTTAATAATACGTTAGTAGTAAGTTCTCTAAGTAAAATAAGATAGTATATCGCATAAAATAATTATTAATGATTGTTATGAATTGCGTAATAAGTTCTCTAAGTAAAATAAGATAGTATATCGCATAAAATAATTATTAATGATTGTTATGGATTGCGTAATAAAGATTGTGCAATATATTGTGTAGATGTAGAAGAAAGGCGATATATCTGTTTGTTTTAAATGATAATTCATGTTTGAAAACAAAATTAAATCAATCTGCATTATGAGTGTCGTAGGTAAGTACGATATTGCGTAAAATAGCCCAGTAAGCAAAAGCAGCTTACGCACACACTTTTACCATTTTTTCTAGAAAATGTACAGAATAAAGATATATTTTACATAATTTTACTGAAGGATGGCTTGGTTACAGTACCGAAACAATGGTTAACAGATGACAAGAAATACACATTTTGGCCATCTAATGTGCATACAGCACAATGTATCAATTTGATTAAATCTTGTGCTGAAGTAAACGTACAATGGGAAAAATACGAGATAGAATTTATATGTGGAACAGCAGGTTTGTATCTATTCTTAAATTATGTATACATTCATTAGACTTGCAATAATTTCAGTCGCTTGATTTTAATTATTGATTTAAATTTAAATTTTAATCATGCATATTTTATGCTGAATCATTGACTTACATAAATATTATTATAAAAATATCAGTTTTACAATTGTCTAAAAATAAATTATTTAGTATAGTAAATTCTTGTAATAATATAGTGTTTTGAAAAGCTCTCGAGATAAGCTACAAGAATATGTAATAAAAAATGAGGGATTCCAATTAAGAAAACATGGACCATATTGACCTCACCTTGAAAAAGTCTTTGTCTGAAATATTTTTTAATATCTCACTTCGTTTCCGAAAAATATGCCAGCGTCACTATAAATGCCTCACCCTGTATATAATATACAGGGTGTGTCAAAAGTCTGAATACACTTAAATATCTCGTAAACGTTGCATTTTAGAGAAAAATATTTCAGACAAAAGTTGTAAGGCTTAAAAAGACGCATTCAACGGTAATAGCTGTTTGACCTTGGATGGCGTTGCAAAGGTCAGATCAAGGTCAAACTGAATTTTTTAAATGGAATTGCCTACTTTTTATTGCATATTCTTGTAGCTTATCTCGAGAGCTTTTCAAAACACTATAATAAAGTATTTTTTCATTAAGTACTTTTTGAGTTATTTTATATTTTAATCTGACACATATTTTGATATAAAAAATAAAATATCTCGTAAAATATTTAGTTTTCGATAATCTTACCGTAATACTTTTATGTACAGAATAATGAGACAAATCAATTAGT